CACTTTAGTAGGTTTAATGTAATAAACCTTCTTACATTGTCTCCCAAGTTAACAAGCTTTGTTCTTCGAATAGATAAGAATCTAAGCTCCCATTGGACATGAACTCATACACAAGTAAGAACTTTCTTTCATGGCACCACCCAATCAGTTGCACAAGATTACGATGCCTAAGCCGACTGATGATCTTTACTTCCGATGCATACTCCTTCGATCCTTGTTTAGAACCCCTCGATATCCTTTTAACAGCAACATATGACTGCAAGTCTGGTATGAAGGTTTTATAAACCCCACCGAATCCTCCCTCTCCAAGCTTTTCTCCCTCCTTAAAGCTACTCATGGCCCGAGCCAATTCGCTGTAGGAAAACTTCCTCGGGCCAATTCACTGTTGGTGAGGCGGAGGAACTGGGTGTCCATATAAGCATCACTCTAGGATAAAATGGTGTCACGGTCGTCGGAAGTGAAGCTGGAGAAATTGAAGTTCAATGGAGTTGCAGAGTGGGCTAACAGAAACAAGAGAAGCAGAAGAAGAAGAAGAAAGTGAAGCTTTGTTGAGTACTTTGCAACCATTTTGGAAGAGGAGAAAGAGAGACGTGCAAATTTGTCACCTAAACTATGGAGCAAAGAGCACAGAGATAATTAATTTTGGAATTAAAATCGTAAATAATTTATTAATTGCTGAGAGACTTGAGACCATTGTTGGAAGTAGCGAGGAAGGAGAGGAATCCGTCTAATTGTAAATTGGATTCTTATTGGTAGTTTTGTATGTACATATCGATTTTAATCTTATGAAAATTTTTATATTATCTGAAAATGATAGATTTTTTTTTTTTTTACTTACTTTAATGTTATCAGTGTGTTCAACTTTGAGCTTAGAGTGCATGTTTAGAGAAATTGCTCGAGTCTTATGTGAATTTAGTATGTTATCACTCCTCAAAACTTTCTATAAAAAAATAATAATAACCAGGCAACATTATTATACAAAAATATTAATAAATTGCAATGTCATGACTCATAATGTACATGTATTACTTATAGGAGATGCTCCCAAAAAGTAATATTTTATTTATTGACATAGTCAAGATCCAAACAGGCCATTAGATGTTGTTACCTTTTTTTTCTTTTATCAGTAGGTAATAATGACTAATATTTGTCTTTATTTTTATGTCAAGGGCGAATATTTGTCTAGGTTCTGACCAAATATGGTTACAAACCATTATTTGTGTTCTAGGCGATGGACGTCGTCAAGATATATCCAAAACCCTTTTCATTCTTGACAAACTCTGCTTATGCACAAGTTGTATATATGGTCAAAAAAATATTGTATGTATGTATATATGGTCGTGTGTCACATTCATTCACACAGCAGGTATGGATCACAACAACAATTGAACAAATAGTATTATGAAGAAAAAAGGTCCTGCCACTTTCACTATTTAATGTCGATTGATTAAAGCAATTATACCAAACACTTGCTCATCATCACTTTAACCCAAGGTTTATACTCATCACCATTCTCAACACTTAACACATATCCATATGTATAATCATGGGTCCATATATAATACGAAGTAAAACTTAACCATAATTATGTATATGGACATGTGTCAAGTATTAAAAGGGGTGGTAGGATATACAGTTTGGTTTAAAGTTGTAAGCAAAAATATTTGCTCCATAGGGTATTCGCAAGTTTGAAACAATTAATGTTTTGGTAAAATTCATTGGTCCATTGAAGGGATTGGGTGAATCACTGGTTTATAAGCCTTCATATAAGTCTCCAGCTTATAACAATCATCCACATAAGCAATTGGGTTTTCACATCTTTGAAATATTGCTGAGATTGCATGAGGACATGATATTTCACATAAATTCCACCTCCTACAAGAGCATGTCTTTGCTCTAAGGTCTACAATAAATTCTCCACCATAAATGTGGCTCACTTGATACAATTTCTTATCAGCCAATCTAGGAATGCATTGTGATGAACCTAACTTGTTCTTCTCAATTATCTTGAAGATCCTAGGCCCAACAGAGTATCTCCAATTCTGACATGCAGACCTCCTACTAGCCATCCTAAGCATCACATACACCATTATCCTCTCCAAGCAACTCAAAATTGTCTTATCCCTTGCATCTAATATGATTGCATTGAAACTTTCACACAGATTATTCAACAAAAGATCACATTTAAAATGTGATTCGAAGTGAGATCTGCTCCAATTTTTTGCAGATCTCTTCTTCAACGACTTCCATGCTTACTCATCCTCATTTTTCATCTTCTCCATTTCTGCCTCCCACCAAGGCACAGTTATAGCTCTTGCTGCAGCCCATAATATATGTTTCAGAGCAAGACCAATATGTGATGCCCTAAAGTTACTGTACAGGTGTCTCACACACATCCTGTGCTTTGCAGTTGGAAGTACTCTCTCAATGGCAGGTAGAAGTCCCTTTTGTTTGTCATTAATCACTACCCAAGCTTTTCCATTTGTAATCCCTAAATCTTCAATTAGAAGATTGAAAAACCAAATCCAAGAGTCTTTACTCTCAATATCAACCACTGCATAAGCTACTGGGAAATAACCATTGTTCCCATCCACCCCAACAGCCATCAAGATCTGTCCAAGATAAGGCCCTTTCAAATGGCAGCCATCAACACCAATAACAGGCCTGCAACCTTCTAAAAATTCCTTCTTACAGGCAGCCAAGCACACATATATCCTTTGAAACACTATCTCACCCTTCACAATCTGAGTTTTAATCTTCACTATACTACCTTTGTTTGCAGTTTTCAATTCTTTAGCATAATCCCACAATCTAGCATATTGTTCTTTGAAAGTACCTTCATTTAAATCTCTGGCTAGCCTCTTTGCCCTATAAACTTGAAGTTTGGTGACATTTATTTTGTAATCTTCCAACACATCTTGTTGAAATGATTTCAGATCAAAGTCTGAGTTACGCCTCAGCTTGTTTGCATATATATCACAAAGTCATTTTGATGTAGTATGCCTAAGCTTGTCCACTCTTCCACACTGATGTTCTAGGCTCAAAGTTTTAATAGAAAATTTTCCTTCCTCTCTATTAATCTTTGATCCATATACTTGGAAAGAACACCCTTTCACATATTTAGCCTGAACTCATCTGTTGTCGTTTTTTTTTAATTTCACTTCCCTGCCCTCAATAATTGCAAGCTCCTTGATAGCCGCTATCAGTAGTTTTTTGTTTGCAAACTTCATTTCCAATCTAAACTCAGGATTTTTCAAATCCACATCTCTTCTATACTGCTTAAACTTTGGCAGTTTTATCTTTTTTCTACCATTACCCTCAGAATCAGTCTCACTTCCACTGTCAAATTCTGACGTGTCAGCACCATCTGATGATACCTCTCCTGGAGCACCATGACTAGTCCCCTCATCTGCTGCATTCTCTCCAACAGTTGGCCTATCCTCTGCCTCATTTTCATTGAACTCATAATCACTGTCTTTAATTTCTGAATCTGCATCTTCATCTTCATTTGGCAATTCTGCCCCTTCATTATCAATTGTCACATGTGCCCCTATACCTTCATTTGGCAATTCTGCCCCTTCATTATCAATAGTGAAATGTGCCCTTATATCTTCATTTGGTAATTCTGCCTCTGCATCTTCATTTGGTATCTCTTTGACAGCATCTTCATTTGCCACTTTTGTCCCAACATTCTCAAAAGTCTCATCATCTTCAACTTCAATATAATCCACCTCGTTCACTTGGTAATTCTGAGTCAAATCCCCATCACAATTCTTTATATCTGCATCATACTCATAGTCTTCAATCTCACTATAGTATAACACAATAACCTTATTGGATGGTATGTGACCAACCATTTCAACTACTGTAGCATCTGATGTAACAAGCTCCAGTCCACCCTCAAGATTTTTACACCTAATTTCCAAACGTTGCTCAACTTGAGAAATGTCAACCTCATACCCAAGACCTCTCCCAATTTTCAGTAAATCTAATAAGGACAGAAAATTCTCTATAATATTGTCCAAATAACAGACCTTACCCTTCTTATAAACCCCATTTTCAAACCAGCCCCCATGATGTAATTCTAGAGTGCACATTCCATTGTTAGCTGCAAAATTGAAACAACAATAGGTTATTCTAAAGTCATAGTTTTGTTATTAATGCTAACGACAACAAGGGCAACAATTACTGAATTGGGTGTGAACCAGACAACCAAGGGACCACAGCCTTATAAAAAAAAACACCATATTCAACATACAGGAACCACAACCAAGGGACCACAGACATAAAGCTTACACTCTACAGTCAATGTAGCAAAAGCCAAATCCACATCCATATACAAGAAAACGATTCCTTTACCCTTACTTTAAACATAAAACAACCAAAAAGCCGAACACAAACACAGAAAAAGGAATCTTTATAAAGAAACCACAGTTCCAGACAAGGACAACTCATCCATTTCATCAATTTCCAAACAAAAACAACATAAAATGCATTATAGAAGCCCTTACCATATTTGGGAGTCTTTCCACCCGAACGGAATTCGTACTCCATTAATCAGCAACTAGTGAATTTCCCAAAATCTCCAAAATCCCCAAAATCAAACCCTAACCCAAACTCCCAAATTCAAACTCCAAAACTAACAGTGAAATTGCACACTAACTTCACCAATTCAGCGACTCGCACACTACTACACTACAACATCAACCAATTCAGCAACTCGCATTAAAATCCCTTTCACTCGATGGTATTCGCGGGAAATGAGAGGGCTTCTCAAAAAGTAGAGCTATTTTGGAGGGATTTTGGTTCTGAACAATAGGGCTTCTCAAAAAGTCGCATATACCCTTCAAAACTTAGTCATGTGGCCATCGCGTGGTTGAAAGTGACGGAATCTATCATGGAATGACGATTTTGGTACAAAATAAAAAGTTCAAGGACGTTTGAATTGAAAATTTTAGTTGATGGACCAAAATGATAATGGAGTGATAGTTGGGGGACCATTTAGGTCATTAACCCTAAAATCATTTTGTTTTCCCCACAATTCTAACAGTGGTATCAGAGCTAGTTCGATCGTATTGGGTGTCAGAGCTGGTTCGAGAGCTAGTTCGATCACTTTGGGCGTAAGGGCCGACTCGAGAGCCGTGTTCAATCAATTTGGGGCGCATGGGCCGATTCTAAGGAAACAAGGTACGTGCTATCAATACTCAATTCAAAGTTTCACGAATTCTAGAAAAAGGGAAGGAAATCTAGAGAAAGTTCTAGAGGAGGAGATAGTGAAAATAAAGAGAGATGGCATGAGAGGAAGAACTTTCCTCCATGTAGGGTGTGCAAAAAGTTAAGACACTCAGAAAAAGAAGCCCGAATGTTGAAACTAAAAAATTGGGCGATGAGGAGAATAAAAATTGCCGACGAAGAACTATCAAGCTAACTACGAACGGAGAAAGTGCCACACGAGCACGGAACTGGAACATCAACTAGATGTTTGTCAATGCTAGCTTCATGAGGTGCATGCTTGGAGAATTACCAATGCGCATTAAGGAGGAGTGTTGAAAAACTAATGCTCATTTGTTCTACAAAGTTCTAGAAAAGTCACGAGCTCACAATAAAGAAGTTGCATGGCAGCAAAGCAAAATGAATATGGTGGAATATTCTGGAAAAAGTGATAAGTGAATGGCAAGAGTATGGCGGTGGAAGAAATCTCTAGAGCATACAAACATGTGGCTGGGGTTGATCTTCCCAAGTCGTGGAACAAAGCATGTCGGTTGATCAAGCCTATAAATTGGCATGCAACCACAATGAAATGTGGAGTAAACCAATCAACTCCCAGTCTATGTGGGAGCAAAAAGGCTACCTAAATAAAATATGTTGAGGAGCCAATAAGCTCACCAATCTAAGTGAAGGGCCAAATAGTTCAAACCAATCTAAATCAAATGTAGTGGCCAATAAGCCAATATGTAAAGTGTAGAAGGCTAATTAGCCTACACCAAACTATGTACTATTCTCCTCCAATATAATAAAATCATTTTGTTTCCCCTACAAATCTAACAAGTTGTAGGGGAGGCCGAGACTGCTACCAGATCCCAGTGTGGTGTTGAGCAAGGACCCTTTTGGGGCTATGAAGAAGGTGATGCTGTCTCCATAGCTGGAGTCGTTCTTCGATTCGAAGGCGAAGTCTAAAGTGGTGGTGAAGTAAGCGAGTTTTTCGGTGTGGTTTTCGCGGAGGAGGAAGGGTTGGCGGTAGGTGGCTCGGCCCACGCTGCCATTTTTAACGTCATCTTCGGCGCTTTTGGTAAGGCGGAGGAAATGGACGTCCATATGAGCATCGCCCTCGGGAAATATGGTGTGGATGTCGTCTTGACTGAAGCTGGAGAAACTGAAGTTTAATGGAGTTGCAGAATGCGCTAACAGAAAGAAGAGAAGCAGAAGGAGAAGAAAATGAAGCTTTGTTGTTGAGTACTTTGCAACCATTTTGGAAGAGAAGAGGAAGAGAGATTAATGTGCCCAAATGTTTGTCACCCAAAATATGGAGCGAAGAGCGCAGAGATAATTAATTTTGGAATTAAAATCGTAAATAATTTATTAATTGCTGAGAGACTTGGAGACCATTGTTGGAAGGAGGGAGAAAGGAGAGATTTTTTATATTATCTGAAAATGATAGATTTTTTTATATTTTTGCTTACTTTAATGTTATCAGTGTTCACACAAAACTTTGAGCCTAGAGCGCATGTTTATGCAAAGGATAGGTTTGCAGAAATTGCTTTTCTAGAAAAAGTCTAGGTTTCAAGTCTTGTATGAATTTAGCATGTTATTATGTCTCAAAAATTCTATGAAAATAATAATAATAACCCGGCAACATTATTATACATATAAAAATAATAATAAATCAATGTTGGGACTCATGTACATGTATTATTTATAGGAGATGCTCTCGAAAAATAATATTTTATTTATTGACATAGTCAAGATTCAAATATTATTGGCTTTTTATCACAAAACGTTTTTGACGTTTGCGAAACTATTAGATTGCATCTTTAAAAAAAATTTGTATTACTCATGGTCCCTAATATTAATATAAGTGTTCTTAAATAGTCCATCTGTCAAAAAAGAAGAAGTTAAATCTAGGGATATAATTGTCAAATTAATCCAAAATTATTATTTATATATATATATATAAGTGTAGAAACCCTGTAACCATAACCAGGATCGAGGAAATACAAAAAATAAGGAAATTTTGATCATCCGTCGCAATTGGCTAGAGCCCAAGGCATATATAAGTCTGAAGTTGATTTGGAAATTTGACTTTTAGTAACGAAAAATCTGAAAAACACCGTCGCATAAAATGTTTAGCCACGAAAAATCTGATGAATATCTGTCGCTAAAAACTTTTGATGACGAAAAATCTTCAAATTTCTAGGCAAAACAACAACTGGATTTTTATAGTTCAATTTTTTTATGTTATTCCCTTCCATTTTCAGTGCTTACCTTTAGTTTCCAACTAATTCCCACAAGAAATGGAGGGAAATGGTTCCATAGTATGCATCTTGTTTAGTTGATTTTCTTTTTCTTCTCTTTGTCTCACATTTTTACAAGAACACGTGAGTTTTCTCCCAATGTTTCAGTTTCATAAAAGGTAGGTCCTTCCTCTTTACCATTACTAGGCTTCCTTACCTGGCTAGAAGAAGATATGCCCAGCATCCACTGTGGTAAACGTCTCCTACTTCCATCATCTGCTTCTGGAGCAACTCCCACCATTTCTTTTTCTCTCAACTAAACTAACCTATAAATTCATTAATGGTTGAAGAGGTGAAAATGAATTGATTTGACGATTATATTCCTAGATTTAACAGTTTTTTTTTACAGATTGACTATTTAAGAGCACCCATATTAACGTTAGGGACCATGAGTGATACAAAAAAAAAACTTTAAGGACGCAATTCGATAGTTTCCTAAATATCGGAGACGTTTTGTGATAAAAAAAACCTTTTTTTATTTTATTAGTAAGTAATAATTTTTAATTTTTTTTTTTTTTTTTTTTTTTTTTTTTTCAAGGGCGAATATTTGTCTAGGTTCTGACCAAATATGGTTACAAACCATTATTTGAGTTCTAAGCGATGGACGTCGTCAAGATATATCAAAAACCCTTTTCATTCGTGACAAACTTTGCTACTTGCAATATGATTATGCACAAGTTGTATATATGGTCAAGGTCAAGTGTCGCGTTCATTCACACAAATAGTATTATGAAGAAAAAATTGTCCTGCCACTTTCTCTATTTAATGTCGATTAAAACCATTGACGTGAACTTTTGGTTGGTAAGCAAAAAAACCCTAGCCCCCTTTCTCCCAAAAAACACTCTTAGAGCCTTTTCTACTTTGAGGGGGGAGGAAGCCATTGTTCTTCCCCCCTCTCCCTTCTTCTCTTTCTCCTTTCACCTCTTCCCCATTTTCAGGGACAAAGGATTTTCCCTATTTATCTTAGTTTTGTTATGATTTTCATCCAACTATTATAGGCGGCTGCGGCTCAGCGTCGGATCTTCACCTGTATTTCGGCGTCGGATCTTCGCCACCATCTCTTTTGCAATTTCTTTATGCTTGGAATAAGTTGCAGAGATTCTTTGAGTTCTCTGTGTAGTTTTCACATCTCCTTTTGTGAGAGTTTTTCATCTCTCTTTTGTGAGAGCTTTTCATCTCTCCTTTGTGAGAGTTTTATTTGTATTGTTATGGCTTGGTTTTTTCAAGCTTTATCTCTTTTTTATTATTCTAAGTTTGCAATCTTAGTTGGGATGCCTATGTCAGAATTTCTTCGATCCTACCTGATCGTTAGTGGAGACGCATCAAATTGTCTTAATTTTGATATTAGACTGCTCCGTTATTGTAATGGCCCTATTGTGGCTAGTTTGTATTGGCCCTTTGTGGCTAGTGGTTTTTTTGGCTGAATTATGAATACAATCATAGAATTTCTCAAAAAAAGAAAAAAAAATGTCAATTAGATTAAAGCAATTATACCAAACACTTGCTCATCATTTTAACTCAAGGTTTATACTTACCACCATTCTCTATACTTGATACGTGTCCATATGCATAATCATGGTTACTTAATACAAAGTAAAATGTTAACCATGATTGTGTATATAGACACGTGTCAAATATTAAAATGGGTGATAAGATATACATTTTGGGTTAAAGTGGTGGGCAAAAATATTTGCTCCATAGGGTATTCGCAAGTTTGAAACAATTAATTTTTTGGTAAAATCCGCACCCATTCAATAAGATAATCTAAGATTGGTTGCAGGTTTTTCTTTTAATCCAATTCAATACAATTACAGCTTGGGATTTAAATTGAATTAAATGATCATTGATTGCAGGTTTTTCTTTTAATCCAATTCAATACAATTACAGCTTGGGATTTAAATTGAATTAAATGATCGGTTTAATAATGGGAAAAATAAAATACTGAAACATGAAACAATTATAGTCAAATCTAGACCAATTATAGAAGTGTTGCGTTGCTATAAAAAAAAAAATTAAGATAGTTGAATCAAATGACTTGTACTTTTGTTTGTTCATCAATAATATATTATCGTTTATTTTCAACAACAACCAAAAAAAAAAGACTTGAACCAGTACAATATATCTTAACCACAAATACAATTATTAAAAATGAAACAGAGTTAACAAAATCTAAAACACTTCATTTGGTGAAGCACAGAGAAAGAAGGAGAAGTGTTGTGCCATTTAGATGTATTTTCTCATAGAATAGAAATGCCACATTTTGACCTGGCCAAATAAAATCAATTAAGACAATTACCACATCCAAGAGAACATTGCGTTAAAACCATGCATTAGCACAATCATGTGAGGTATAAGTGTTGTGGCCACAGCCAGTTTGGCCTCCTTGAGAACCGCTGGTATCTCTGGACAACATAGAGACCGATTTCGGAGCAGTAAAATAGGTGGCCGCCGGCATCTTTGATGGGAGAGGAGGCAAGGGAATCTCGAAGTTAAGCATTTGAATTGCTTGTTGTATTGAAGGCCTCATATTGTAATCTGGGTGAGCACACCATAACCCAACAATGATCAGGCACTCCATTTGTTCCTCATCAAAATCTCCACATAGTTTTGGGTCAACTGCTTCAATGGCTCTCCCTTCTCCATGAAGCTCCCAAACCCACTCCACCATATTTATTTTACCAGTTCCAAACTTTGGATCGATGGCCTTTCTCCCGCATGCTATTTCCAAAGCAACAACTCCCAAGCTGTAGACATCTGATTCTTTGCTAGCCTTTCCGGTGTTGAGATAATCCGGAGCCATGTAGCCCATGGTTCCAGCCAGTGCTGTTGTTTCCGGCTCTTGTCCATGGTCCACAAGTCTCGCTAAACCAAAATCCCCAAGTTTTGCGTTGAAATTCGAATCCAACATAACATTACTCGATTTAATGTCCCTATGTAGCACGCATTGTTCCCATCCTTCGTGTAGATAGAGCAACCCAGAAGCCAAGCCTAGAGCAATTTTGTATCTTGCATCCCAAGTTAGAAACCTTTGTTCTTTGAACAAATGAGCATCTAAGCTGCCATTAGGCATGAACTCGTACACAAGTATAAACTTTCTTTCATGACACCAACCAATAAGTTTCACAAGATGTCGATGCCTAAGTTGACTGATGATCTTTACTTCCGAAGCATACTCCTTGAGTCCTTGTTTAGACTCCATAGATATCCTCTTCACAGCAACAAATGACTTCAAGTCCGGTAAAAAGCCTTTATAAACCCCACCAAACCCTCCCTCTCCGAGCTTTTCTCCCTCCCCAAAATTACTCGTTGCACAAACCAATTCACTATACGAAAACTTCCTCGGGCCAACCCTCTTTTCGAATTCTTCATCAATCAATTCATTTACCATAGGATTTTCATCGCTACTTTCCCCTCCATCCCTCTTCTTCCATAAAATGAACCAAACCAAACCCAAAACACCAACCAAGACAACAGCACATCCACCAATGCTTACCCCAATTATTAGTCCAATCCTGTTATCATTTCCTGACTTGACCTCATGGCGATCAACTAGTGAAGTTGAATTGAAATTCCATGAGAAGATCTTAAACAGAGCAACAGAACTACCAGTTGAAGCAGAGAACCCAACAACGACCCAATCTGGCAAGTAGTCTTTCAAATCAACCTTGTAATCAAGATAATGAATCACTTGGACACCATCCACAAAAGTAGTGAAGGCAACACTGAAGTTCTTTGTGGTGGAGTTGTAACTAACAGCAGCACTATTTGTTGTACCGTTCAAAATGCCTGCAGTCCAATTCTTGGTTATAATAGAGTAGAGAGAGTTGACGTTGATACCTACATGTTCGTGAGCATGGTCCTTGATGGTTTCGCGTGTATTCTGGTAAATATCAAACTCCACTGCCACGAAGGGGTACTGATTCCTCGGACCGATGACGTTTGGAGTTACGGTATCGACAGGGAGGCCGAGGTTGCCACCCTTGCCTAATACGCTATTGAGTGAGGAATCATTTGGGGCTATAAAGAAAGCAAGACCGTCGCCGTACTTGGAGTTGTTGTTGGAGTCGAGGGCGAAGTTGAAACTGGTGGTGAAGTCAGCGAGTTTCCCGGTGGCCTTTTCTCGGAGGAGGAAGGGTTGGCGATAGGTGGCTCGGCCCACACTAAAGATATTTTCGTCGTCTGTGCCGCTGTTGGTGAGGCGGAGGATTTTGGTGTCGAAGAAAGCATCGCCTTCTGTGGTTATGGTTGCTAAGTCACTGCCGTTGAAGCTGGAGAAACTAAAGTTTAGTGGAGTCGCAGAAGAGGTTAACAGAAAGAAGAGAAGGACAAGGAAGTGAAGCTTTGGTGAGTGGAGGGTGTTTGTTGTGATGAAAGCAGAAGAGTTACCCATGACAACCATTTTGGAAGAGAGGCTAAAAAGATGGCAGAGGTATCCGTTGAGCCGAATTCAAATATATATATATTGGCTCAAAGGCTTGACACTAGTTGGTTTAGTCTGAGTCAATGAAGAACTGGTTCGATGACTTGGGAGACTTTATGGTAGATTTCCAACTCTTTGATTTAGTAAGCGAATACTTCGCTTGCAAATGGGAATGGAGAGTTCAATATTTTTTTTTTCTACAAATCACAAGAATACGTTGGGAGTGAAGGTGGAGGGAAGAATAAGTCTCCATGAACGTACATTGTTTGTGCAGCAAGAAAAGTGATGTAGAATAGTTAGCTGAGATGATCGAGGAGCAGCTTGACATGTGTGAACTGAGAAATAGCAAAATCCAACCGTTTCTACTCCGAGCTACTATTTGGACCCTTTTCTTTCTTTTTCTTTTTCTTTTTTCTTTCTTTTTTTGCCAAATGATCCCTTTTCATTATTATCAATAAAACTTTGAAGTTTCTCTCAACCTTCTGGTGGCTTTCTTGTTCTAAGACTACCCTTAAAAAATAATTAATTCTAAGAAATCTTGTACGCAGACACGGAATTAAAAGACTCGGATAAAGAACTTAGAGGACTTAGACTTGGTTGACTCTAAGAAGGTCTTCCCAATCCTGGGAGACTAAATTTAAAATTTTATTTTATTAAAAAAAAACCTTAATATAGCAAAGTAAAATCCATCTCTGAATTCTCATTTCCATACCGTGTCCAATGGACAAAACTGGTTATTTATATCCATTTCCTCCAACAATCGGACGTTTTGTTTCCTTAGAGCACTTCCACCAGTTAGCCCCTTGCCATGGCAAGGGGAGCCCTAGGGCGGCTACTATTTATGTGAATAGTGGCTGCCCTAGCCCCCCCAGCAAAGTGTGTTTCCAGCAAGGTAGGCTTACCATGGCAAATACTATTCATTTTTTTGTTTTTTTTTTCACAACTTTGTTTACTTAAACATTTGATTTGGATAATATTTTCGGATAAGATTTTTGGGTTCCTACGTGTCAATACTACTCATATCGGATAAGATTTTTGGTTTCAAATTTCATATAAATTTCAAATTTCAAATTTCAGATAAATCAATACAACTAATAAAATAAAATACATGAATGACCACTAATTATTGAAACAAAACAAAAAAAACACAATGAAATGAAAGGCAAGCAAACTAAGAAATGAAAGGCAAGATTTTATTTTATCGGATAATATTTTTGGATAAGATTTTATTTTATTAGTTGTATTGGTTGGTATTTATAG